CACTGAGGAAACCTAGCTCAGAGTATGTTAGACTTAGTTTTAGAATCCGAGACACGGGAATAGAGCTTATTTACACAGCCTAGAGATTGGCAACACCCGGCGCGAGTCCGTTTGCTTCCGACAGTCTGCCCTCATAGGCCTTTTTATCTGACAGTAGTACGGACTGTCAACTTTGCTAGAAAATAGCCCGCAGCCTTATTCCTAATCCACAAAGGTTCTTACGATTGTCTCGTTGCCACAGGAACCTTTTTTGCAAAATATAAGGTTAACTACTTATTGCGCACATTTTGTTATTACCGCCACCTGGCAGGAACTGAGCGGGCAGCTGCGAGTCATCTGGAACATTAATTAACGCGGTGCATGCACCCACGTTCTCTGTTGCCTTGCAGGGTTACTCCACTGGACTGTGCATCACGAAGGACGACAGAAACAGCGAACTGCGTGGGCGTATACGCAGCCTGCTGTGCAGAACTCGCGAGACCAGCAAAAAGGATGCAAATAATCCGCATCTGAAATCAGTGCCCGCAAGGCGACGCGAGGTCACTGTGGAGTGAAAGAGAGAGAGGCCACTTTGTGAACAAGGGGGCGCGTGGTAATCCCCGCCACCCCCTTTCCCCCCTCCTCCCCCCACCGACATTTTGATCTTGAATCGACCTCCACCGCCCCCCACCGCCCCTATCCTTGTTTCGACCTAAGCCTGTTCTGCCTTCGATTATGCATGTCCCCCGTCTGCAACGGTTACATCGCCGCTTTTGCCCCCTCACCCCGGGCCACAGTTTCTTCTATAGCCCCCCTCCCCCCCCAGAGAAATAAACCTCCCTTACAGATCGTGCTCACAGTAGCTTACAGCGGCCAAGTGAAGGTGAAGACAGATTAACGTAAAGCTTGTTAAAGAACAGGATTAGTAGATAGGCTTGCGTCCCCGCGTAGGCAGTCAGAATTATATGTGAGACAGTTATATGAAGGAAAAAAAGATGTACTAACCTTAACGCGAACCTCAAGATATGTTACAAAAATATGCAGTATAGAAAATATACAGTGCGACAACATTCTGTGGTCTATCTAGATGGGAGGTGGGGAGGGGGGAGGAAGACCGACATGTCGGCCAAGCAAACGGTTGGGAATGCAGTGCTGTCGACAGCCGCAGAGATGGCCATGGGATGGCCAAGGAGAGAGGACGAGAGAGAGAGAAAGCGAGAGAGAGAGAGAGAGAGAGAGAGAGAGAGAGAGAGAAAGAGAGAGAGAGA